CTATATTATCTGTATATAAATAATATAATATAATAATTATAATATAATAATATAATAATTAATAAATAATATAATAGTTTCTGACAAATAACTGGCCCAAAAATACTGAATAGTATTGAGATATTTTCAGAGTTTTTATTGGGCAGAAACTATCCAATATTTACTTACTATTTTTCTTGCATAGTTTCTAACAAAACATTACCCAAGAAATACTGAACAGTATTTTCAGAGTTTTTAATGGACAGAAACTGTCCAGTATTTACTTACTATTTTTTAAAGTCTAATTTCTGACTAGTAATTGACCATGAAAAAATAGTCAGTATTTTCTACCAAGTTTCAAAACAGTAACTGTCTAATTAATCCTAACTAGTAAAAACTGTCTAGTTACTGACCAGTAATCAGTTTTTCCCTGAGATGTTTCTACTTGGGCTTGACTTTAACATACTACTGTGTCCAAAAAGTAAGACCAGTTTTTATTTATTTCAAAAAATATTTATTTATTCTTCCAAAATTTATTTCGTCAAAGTAATCCCCTCCCGACACAATACACTTATGCCAACGTATTTTCCAGTCCTCGAAACAAGAATTAAAGTCGCCTTCCGATGGCTTTCAGAGCGCGTAGCGATTCACGTTGTATCTCTTCTATCGTCTCAAAACGATTTCCCCGCAGTGGTCTTTGAGTTTCAGGAATAGTCAGAAGTCACACGATGCTAAATCAGGCGAATATGGTGGTTGTGGAATGATATGGATCGAATTTTTGGCGAAAAAGTCACGAAGAACGAGTGCAGTGTGAGAAGGTGCATTATCGTGGTGCAAAAACCAAGAATTGTCTGCCCACAATTCTGGCCCACAATTCTTCTTGCGAATAGCTTCACGCAAACGACGCATAACACTCAAATAATACTCTTTGTTGACGGTTTGGCCGGATGGAAGGAATTCTGAATGGACAACACCACGATAATCGATGAAAACTGTCAACATGACCTTGATTTTCGCTCTTCGTCTTCAACACTTTCACGACCTTCTTTGAACTGTTTATACCACTTGTAAACATTCCTTTCCGACAAAGCATGGTCCCCGAAGGCTTTCTGCAACATCCTGAACGTTTCTGCACCCGAAATTTCATTCCGCAAACAAAATTTAATGCAACTTCTTTGCTCAATATAATTAGACATTGTAAAAATCGCCGAATGCACTTTTAGCGTCGTACAAAACCAAGCGTAAAGCAAAAAGTAATGAATGTTTTGACATGAAATTTGTCACAGATGTCTGTCACAATGCTGCCAACTTAGGAAAAAAATATTTATGATGTGCGGTTTACCCGCGCGATTTAAATTGAAAACTGGTCTTACTTTTTGGACACAGTAGTATGTTGTCAAGGTCACTGCCCTGAGTAACCTTCAAAAGGTTTTAACTGGCGCTCATTGTTTAATAAAAAGTTACTAACGAAAAAAATTTTATAAACGGAGCGTAATTTTGGTATACAGTACACATTGAAATATGGTAAAAGGTGTCTGTTCCTAGCCGTGCAACTGGGGAGATACGCCCCTCAGACCCTCCGCACCGCGGCGGGCGGGGTCTTTTGTCAAAATTCTTTTTGTTTATAGCTTAAGCATAACAGACTGTAGCCCTCATTCCGCCGCGGTACGGGGGGTCTGAAGGGCGTAGTCCCCCAGTTACACGATTAGAAACAGATATATTGTCGGTGTGAAAAAAAATTTCCAAATGGCAACTGAGAAGTACTGAAGACCAGTGTTTACATAGAACTATATGCTTATTTATGTATCTATGAGAAGTAACGTCTAGGAAAAAAATATCACGCTTCCATAACTTATCGTTTACATACTACACTTAATATACTTTGTGTTGATATTAACGTATCTTTTTTGTGAATAACTTTTTAACAAAAAATAAGTGCTACTTTTGAAGATATTTTGTTACTCAGGACAGTGATCTTGACAACATGTTAAGGTCAAAGTCATTGGAACTGCCTCCCCTATAGTCAATAATTACCAAACTTTTCTTGTTAATAACTTTTTAATAAACAATGAGCGACGGCTAAAACCTCTTGAATCTTATTCAGGAGGGTGTCCTTAATAATATATGTAACAGGCAGGGCCATTTGAGATGAGTCCCCTAAACAGCACATATTTACCAAATTAACTATGTTTCTCAGCAAGATAAAATTTAGTCAGTCAATTCATACAATTAGAAAACATAGTGAATTTCTACAATTAGAAAACATAGTGAAATTGAAAAGAATTTATATGGAAGAAAGAATGTAATATATTCTCTTCGTGTAAAAATTAAAAATCCATTGTAGGAATTTAAGTGAAATATTCACACTCTTGTTATTTCTAGTAGCAGTAACTTTATTATTGCTTTGAGTGCTTTCATTCCTTTTGAGTGAACTTTCACTCTAAGAAATTTAGAGGATACTTTTGTCCACAAACGACTTGCAGTTTCATGTCATATCGTATAAAGATACTCTTCCGAAGTATACTTTACTAAATAATATATTTTTCGCACAATGATCCGCCATTAGTAAATTACATTTTTAATGTCTTCGGTCGTCGAAATTTATTTTAAGCTCACGACGGCCCATAAACCTCCGACTAAACGCACTTGCGTTCCGTGCAACAACTTTGCCTACAAAAGCAGCGTTACTCGCGAAACACACTGAAGTTTTCCAGGAAAATTTATGCTGCGTAATAAATTCACGAAGTTCATTCTGACGATCTTTATCGCTTCCATTACTTTTGGCGCCAGTCGAAATGGCCCTGCGCGGCCGCGGTTCTATCACGATGTATTGCGTACGATGATAGCCGAGAAAAATATTGCTGTGATAAATTATTTAGTAAATCGAATGATATTTTTCCTCTTTTCCTCTCTCCCTGTCTCTTTCTCTGCCTCTCTCTCTCTCTCTCTCTCTCTCTCTCTCTCTCTCTTTCGGTATCGCGATATCAATGTTTCCATATCGCTGTGCAAGCTATAGTCGAAGCTCGATCGATTCGGTTCGCGAATTAAATTTTAAAACATGACCATCTCATGTGTGCGTCTATGTTCACATGTAACTTCATCTGTGTTCATTTCCCGTTTCGAAAAGCCAATAAACAAAAATCGCGCGTAAAATTAAATATGATTGTAGAGAGTCTCCCTTCTTACCTTCTCTCGCGCAAATTCAACGATAAGACATTATTTTCCTGTTATCGCCGAATGGACGTTAATATTTCATTTATTAGCCTCTTCGTGGTCACTAAATAATCTTAAAGAAGATTGAAAACTCGCACGCGCATTACAGACAGCTCGATGTATTGATTCACAAACGTAACGTAACATTTGGAATTTGGGCGAGTAGGCGTTATCGATTGTCGATTCGCGCAACCGGCCGGCGGGAAAAAAGCGAGGCCGGTTACGCGTTCTCTCCTCCCAAGTGCAAGTCCGGCGAGGGAGAAACGTTTCCCTGGTACTTACATCCGGCTATAACACCGCAGACACATTACACGTCCGGCGCACCGGTGCTCCCACCGCAGCCGTTTTCGTTTTAATTCAAGTGCGCGGCTAGCATTAGCATTCTCTCTCTCTCTCTCTCTCTCTCTCTCTCTCTCTCTCTCTTTCTTGCTGGAAAAAGGTAGCGGCAACGCGCGCCTGGCGATATGCAACGGTCGTTCTTCATGCGCGCGCGTGTGCGCGGGGTTGACATTACAACCGTGCCACGATTTGAAGTTCGATGTGTGCGCACTGCACAGAGGGCCTTGCCGAGGAAATATCGCTTGCGCTTCGTAAGAGGATGAAATCGCGCTCCATTCTTTGCATTCTCTCTCTCTTTCTCTGTCTCTCTCTCTTTTTCTTTCTCTTTCCTTCTCCATCTCTCTCTCTTTATGTGTGCGCGTGCGGGTGACTTACGGCGACTTCGCCATGGTTTTTTTACTCCACCATAGTGCGACGAATGATCGTGTAACGATGTGGCTTTTTCTCCATGACAAATTTCCCTCGCGTAGAATTATTACGAAAAGAGGATCGGGAATTAGCCGGTGGGAGCGTGGCGGGGATTAAATAGCGTAATGGAAATGGGACGAGTAAAACGGGAGGAGACCTGTTTCCATCCTCTTACGAATGTTTAATGTGATCGATATTTTTCTCTTGTTCGATATTAGAGAGGGAAATCTCTTTGCATGTTTTGTGTTATTTGTTAACATGTAGGGGCAGTGGCTGATGATACTACGATACGTTTCATCGAGTTATGTATAAAGAATATAAAAATTAATTGCAATTTAAAAAATCCGTTCTACGGTCGACAAAGAACTAATAAAATTAAATAGAAGATATGAATCTCGAATTGCATTCATTTATTGCATTTTTCGTAATTTAATCATCAATAGACTCCTGTTTCTTTGCGGCTATTTTGATTAATAGCGTCCGAAGCAAAAGAACCAGATTCAAGATTCTTGTACAATATGTTGAAATCAAAAGTATATACACTAAACAACATTTGTGATTAATAGGGCAGATTTGTTCGGAAAATAGTTCGGAAATTTTTTTTGCTCTAATGATCAATAAATAGTCGTAAAATTAACGTGACAAAATTACCTGTTAAAAAAGTAACTATATACTGCATTACGACTATTTATTGGTAAGTAAAATAAAAAGCGAGAAAAAAATTTTCAGACTGTCTTACAAATCTGCTCAACAGATTATAAGTGCCATTATATGAATTTATTTTATTTTAACAAGACATTTTTATTTTATTTTATGATATTTTTAAACTTATTATTTAATTTAAAGTAATTAGATTTTTGTAAAAATTATTTTGTAAAAATTTTGAACGTGCTTTTTCTCGTTTCTGACGTCATCAATTAAGAGGTCGCCAGGAATCTTTATCTTTGTACAACCAGCGAAAATCAACGTATTAAGATTCTGAAAGTCTGTTGAAAAATAGTGATATTAACGATCGGTTATGTGACTTTTTGTAACTTTCAATTGAACATTTTCTGTTGCAGAAGTCGAGGAGCGCTCCGGTGGGAAGGCGCGCGGCGGTAAACTAGCGCGTCGTGCGCGCTCCTTCAAGGAGGACTTTCTGGAAAAGCTCTCCCACATGCGTTCTCCTGGCAGCGGTAGCGGCAGCGGAGGCAGCGGGGCTGCTACGAGAGCCGCCTCGCCCTCGTCGCCACGTACACCGCGTGACAAGAGCGCCCCGGGCTGTAACGATTCCAGCACCGCTTTGGATAAGAATCCCTTACGCGACCTGCACATTCACGTGCGGCAGGTGCAGCTGGCACTGCTCCACTTTCGGGATGTCGTATCTAAGAAGAAGCTCGAGATGTTACCCGGGAACGGCACGATCGTCCTTGATACCGTTACCACCATACACAACGCGTTAAAATCTTACCTGCTTTATGAGAACAGGTAAGTAATTATCGATTTTGTCGTGGAAGTAAAGCCACTTTGTTTGTCGAGTTCTTCTGACAATTGGCGAATTGTCTAACACAATGTGTTTATACGATACTTTTCACACATTTTTTCAATTGCACTTGACATTACATAAAATTGTCACGATTGCGAACTACTGCACACAAGTTGCGTGGTAATGGGTTATAACAGGACTCGAAGTGACACATGGAGTAAATATTGATCCTTTTTATTATTATATTGATTATTATAATATTGATCTTTTTTATATTTTTATCTAGTTTATAAGAATATAAGTACTTACGTTTTTTCATGAGTGCGAATTCTTTATTACAGCTGTAAATCACTCGTATATTGTCACTTCAACTCCTGTCCCTAAGTGACTAACGTGAAAGTTTGTGAATATTGATTCGTAATCGTGAATGCACAATCGCATGCGTAATTACATATAATTTTCTTTTAACTAATTAGAAATAACTGATCAGTTATGCATACTCTTTCCATTGTACCAATCTTCTCGATTGACAACAGTTGGGATTAAAAAATATATGAAAACCATTGTGCCAACGAATATATCAATAAATATACAAGTAAAATTTGTTAAACTGAACAAAAAGCCCTTTCCATTATTTTATCACGATAATGATAGAGATATTAATTAAAAAAGATTAGTGAATCAGTACAAGTGATACGAAAGAATAACCTCTGTAGGGCAGTCTGAAGAAACGTATCTTAGATTTGGCCATCTTCTGACAACAGAGAATATAGTCTGAGTGTCACTATAGAAAATATAGAATATAGGTGTATAGTTCAGGACACGCGTGTGATGTTGGACTGCTCGCAGTTAGATTGTTCGCAGTTTTATTCCACTTCTCGCTGCTAGTCGATATTCATTGTTTGAGCCACTGATTTACTAGTCTTTTTTAATTAATATCTTAATAATTATCGAGATTATTTGAAAAACGTTAGAGCAATGATAAATAAACGGTAAAGAAAGTCTTTTTGTTCAATTTGATAAGCTCTTACATGAACATTGATATACGTTGTCAAGCACTCTGCACTGAGAGAAATGGCTTGGGGAATGACACTATACTCGTCTTATGAAAGTAATATGGTGAATTTATATGCGATATCTGGTTCACATATCCAATATTCTGATTACGATGCTTCCGCGCATCTGGTAGTCAATATCGAGATATTTAGTTGTAGGCATCTAGATGTCTACTTTGGTAATCCTCTCTAGACGTGTGGTACTATTGACGCGATAGTTAATTGTTACTCGCTGCGACGTTTCCTTTTTCATCTATACTAATTTGTAAAGACGTCGGTGCTATAAAAGAATGGACGCTGAAACCGTCAGATATTTGGAAGAATGGAATTTCTTAAAATATGTCAACGAATTTAGAAGTAAATATATGAAGATTATATACAGTAAATGTATGAAAGTTATATATAATATGGTTAGATTTTAGGTTAGGTTAGGTTTTATTGTTTCAATTATCAATTGTATGCTGCAGCAGACGGTTTGGTAAACGTATTTAAGCTACTCACTGTAATGCTACTTACAAGGAAAATAACACAACTGTCCCTTACCGATTTTGATGCGCTTTGGATATGTTGTAGAGCATCAAAAAATAAAAGACCCATATCTTTTTATATCGGCTTATCTCGAGGTTTAGGGGTTGAAACAGCCACTTGAAAAAAATGGACTTTTTCATTTTTATGGAATAATTCCTAAGATATGAAGTATATGAAAAAATATTTCCTATAAAAGTTTTACAGTATTTAATACTCTTTGCAACGGTGTATTTTATTTTTTTTTAAATGTTACATTTTTTATACCCTCCCTCCCCCACTTGTTACTTTTGTACAAAATTTTAAAGTTACTGTACAAAATTTTAAAGTTGTTGTAAAAACAAAAATTGTAAAGCATTTAACACCAAATCCATCAATATATAATAATAGATGTTGGTCTGGCTTAAATCTTTGGAAAACGACATGGTAACATTGTGCTGTAGGCGCCACGCTGTCTATATAAGATGGATATTGTAAGTACGTTGTGTTATGTCTTTTCATAACTGCTTTCACCTATTTTCATACTATTAGATGAGAGCCAATTAATGGTGACGATATGATATACAATATATTACACGAAATACAAAAGTAAACACATAAATTTGTATATAAAATGACAATAGCATGTATGCGTGGCGTCGCTATTTGTACTCTCCTAATCTGAATCAGTGAACTTGACTGAAGAACAGTGAATACTCACTGATTTCGCGTGAGGCGAAAATAAATCTATTTATATTACTTAAGAGTTACTATTGATGCATTGCAACCTCGCTCTATGCACATAGCACTATAAGTAGTATATAAATCAAGCGGCACGTAGTGTCGCGACGCTAAGTAAAATAACGTCTGACGCAGAATGATGCAAAAATGACTATGTTCACATGAAACATCGTGATATAAGTAGCTCTTTCTTGAGATTTTGCGTTATCGATTTTTAATTAAGAAATCTCAGGAATGCTGCGATAAAAAAGTAATCTCATTATGAGATCAGCATGCGCAGTAAAATTGACTCATGTGACCATATGGCGTAATGGCGTAAGATGTAGACTCTATATAAATATCCGCGATATTTGAAAACGGGTATTTTATTTCATGAGTTGAAATTGTGAAGAAGAGTGTCTTATACATAAACTGTGCGTTATACACTAACTGTATGTTATATATAATAATTTTGTGAAACTATATAAATATTTATTTTGTTAACTTGTATTATTATTTTATACTTGTCACTCTTCATTTTTATATTATTGAAATGACAACATTTTATTCAATTATTAACGTAATATTATACGGAAGACGAAACAAAATAGAGCAATAATTAAATTGAAGATTATATATAATAATATTATCAGTTGATAAAGTTATTTTTTGTTTGCTTTACATTTTTAAATATTAAAATGTAAAATTATTATTGCGTTTTGATTTATTCATTTACTATATATTTTTTTATTTACTATATACTTTTGATATCAAGAAAGGAGAGATGGAAGAGAAAAAAATAACATAAAAAATAACATACGAAGACATAAGATTAATTATAAAGTGTGTTTTATTTTGTATATAATCACAGTTGGAGACAAATATTTAATTTTAATCTTTTTCAGAATGATGTTATTTAATCCATGGAATGTCATACTGTATGTAATATTCTCGGCTCTCAACCTTTCACAAAGTCCGATAACTTCGGAGGAAATGAAAATGAAGGAGAAGATTGAATACATACTTAAAGAAATAGGAGATGAAAACGAATTTGAAATAGAAAAGGAACAAACACTACATTTTTATGATCCAAATGAGATTCCAGAGGCAGAAATAATTGATCTGTTGAAGCATGATGAAGATAATAATTATCTTCCAGAAGAAGTTATTTGTAGTTCTGTTGAAACAGCAATATCAAGCGACTATAAAAGATAAGCTGTAGAATACTGGAAGAGCGGTAAAACAAGACCGAGATCGTTGGAATCGGTTAAACGAAGATATAAACAAGTAACATCACTACGATAATTGCGACGACGGCAGAAGTCATCAATGCAGGTGGTAGAAGAGAAAAATGTAGAAGAGAAAAATTACAAAAAACTTCTGATTACACATTAAACCATTTCAACAAAGCGGTTGAAAGAGCAATGATAATTTATAATATAGACATCGGTCGATGGGCTTCTCGAGTACAATAAGAGGAAAATGTAGCAGGATTCATAGCGTGGATACAAAAATTCAGAATAAAACATAATATTTGTCACGAAAAAATCTTTATTATTAAAATCAGAATTGGAAAATAAGTGTGATACATTTATAACAAATGTTTATGACAAATACATATATGACAAATTTTATTAATCAATATGGAGTGGAAAATGTTTACAATTCGGATCAGAGTGAATTCCAGTTAGAACTTTACGCCGTCGTACTTTAGCAAAGAAAGATACAAAAGCAATAGAATCTAGAATAGTACAGTCTGTATCAGCAACCACGCATAGTTACACAATACAGCCGATTATTTCTGCTAATGGTACATTCTTTTTATCATATTAAAAGAATCCACAGGAACGTTTCGTCCACGAGTGCAGGAATCATTATTTAACGCTCCTAATATCTATGTAATGGCTTCAAAGTCAAGTAAATTAACATCAAATTATGTAAAAACCTGATTGAGAGAAGTTTTCTTTCTGAACGTTGGGCCACAATCCGTATTACTATTAGATTCTTGGAGTGGACATTGTCCGAATATTGCCGAAACTAAACCAGATTCTACAATAAATATTATGTTCCTAACAATTCCGGTTGGTACAATGGAAAAAATACAACCACTAGATATATATGGCTTCCGCTTGTGGAAAAATTTTATCAAATATTTCTCTGATATTGTTATGTTATTAGATCTTGCAATTGATCTTCATAATAGGAACAATATCTTGAAATTGCAGTCATTAATGCATTATCAATTCTCGTCACCCAGGTTTCAAAATTTATTTAAATTTGCATGGTTCAAAAGTGGATATTTACAGACTAGATCGCCAGAGTTCGAAACACCGGTTGATTTTTGTTTTAAAAAAGATCCTACAGTAAAATGCGATATTTGTGGCAAAACTGCTATAATTATTTGTTCTTGGTGCAAACGATGACTTTGCATCATACATTTTTTCCATGAGCACCATCTTTGTAACGAATATGTGCCATAAATAAAATATGTTTATTTTCTGTGTGTGTAAATTCTCTATTGATTTTTTTTAATATTTTTTAATATTTTATTAATTATATGATTAATATTATATAATAATATTATAAATTGTAAACATTATATATATATAAACGTTAACGTTAAATATATGCAATTGTCTGTGTTATTTTTTTACAGTTCATTATATTCCCCTACTTACAGTAACGTATCTACTTATAGTATCTATCTACTTGGACAGTGTGGC